TGGGAGCGCCTGGGAGCGCCTGGGAGCGCCGGGAGCGCTTGGGAGCGCCTGAACGCCTTGGAGCGCTTGGGAGCGTGCTGGGAGCGCCTGGGAAAGCTTGGGAGCGCCTGGCAGCGCTTGGGGACGCCTGGGAGCGCCTGGGAGCGCCTGGGAGCGCCTGGGAACGCCTGGGAGCGCCTGGGAGCGCGCCGGGGGCGCTTGGAGTCCCTGGGAGCGCCTGGAGCGTCTGGAAGCGCCCGGAGCGCCGCATGCTGTATTTCTATAAATTGTGAAGGTCCCACGGGCCCCGAATGCTGCATTTTCATAAGGTTTGCAGCCCCAAGGGATGTAGGGGACCGCAGGGGAGCCGCTTGCTAGGGCTGAGGGTTAGGGGTTCCTTTTCTTCAGAGAACACCACGGGGGCGCACCGCGCGGCGTGCGAATTCCTCCTCAGCGGCTATCGCCGCTTCGTCGGTGCGGCGCACGCTGCGTGGGCAGGCTCGCTGAGCGCTCGGCCAGACGCCACGGGCTACGGACGTTGCACCGCCCGCGGCTTGCAATTTAGGGCCTAGGGTTTAGGTCTACTAGGCGTGGCCACGCGTGCACCTGGACCGCGCACCCACCTGCGGTGGCCGTCACTCCCACCCGCACGCCACCACCATAAAGATCATCTCTCCCCTCGGTTTAACCACAGCGAGTGCAACGTCGACGACGACGACGAGGACGACGACGGCGACGACGGATGCACGATCCAGTGGGCACGCGAATGCCCTAACGGGCTCAAGATTCTGCACGCGTGCGCAGGAAGCGCGAGGTTGTCCAGGAGATGGAGCCGGTGTACATAAGGGGGTCGCATTTTGTATTGTAAAATACATGAGATTCTGCACGCATGCTCAGGATGGAGCATGCTCAGGATCACGAATTGTATTTTTTTTGCAATAGATGGAGCGGGTTTACATAACGGGGTTGCAACGGGGGCTGGGCACTTTGTATTGTAAAATACAAGAGATTCTGCGCGCATGCTCAAGACATGCTATTTTTTGCCGTAGATGGAGCCGGCTCGTAACGGGGACTGGGCACGTTGTGCTGTAAAAAATACAAGAGATTATGCGCGCATGCGCAGAAAATGCTATTTTTTGGAGTAGATGGAGCCGGTTTGCATACGGGCCGCTTGAGTAATTTATGGTTTAATAATTATAGATTACAGACGTACACAACGTATTAGCGTCTGCGGACCTCGTAGCGGTCCCAATTGGTCCCCGCCAGTCGGCTTGGCTACGATCCCTCGTAAAACACGTGGGATTCGCGTCGCGACGGCAAGATTTCGGGCCTGCCGATGCCACGATCCCTCGTAAAACACGCCGGATTCGCGTCGCGACGGCTTGCGCGGAACGCTTGCCAGGCCACCCCGAAGGCGCTTCCGCTCGCGCAGGCTCACGCGGAATGCTTGCCGGGCCGCTCCCGAGCCGCGCCCGCTCGCGCAGGCTCACGCGGAATGTTTGTCGGGCCTCTCCGGATCCGCTCCTGCTCGCGCCCGCTCGCACGGGGCGCTTGTCGGGCCGCTCCGGAGCTGCTCCCGCTCGCGCCAACTCGCACGGAATGCTTGTCGTGCCGTTCTGGAGCCGCTTCCGCTCGCGCCGGCTCGCTCGGAGCGTCGGATATGCTTCGGCGCGCCCATCAGGCGCTGGCGCAAGCTTGCGCCGGGCTCGCTTGCATCGTTCGGCATGGTATCGTTTTACTGTTTTTTCGCAATGACACCATTCGAGCTTGCTCAATACGTGGTGATTTTCGTCTTGAGGTGTTAGGGGTTAGGGGAATGGTTAGGGTTTCGGCTTAGGGTTAGTGTTTTGGCTTAGGGTTTCGGGTTATGGTTTACGGCTTCAGGATTGGACGTTAGGGTTTGGGCGAGTGTTGAGGGTTAGGGTTGAAGGTTAGGGTTAGAGGGTGGGTTTAGGGTTTAGGGTTAGAGTCTGGATTGAGAAGGTGAGGGTTAGGGGTTAAAGTTATGGGCGGCTGGTATTTAGGTCGCGCGTCAGGGGTTGCGGGTTAGGGATAGGGATCGGGTGAGTGCTTAGGGTTAGGGCATCGGGTTATTGTTTTGGTTTGGGTTCCGCCAGGAGGGGCGGAACCCACCCCTCTCTTTGGGAGAAAAGGGGAAAGGGGGGGGGGTGCCTTCCAGCAGAGGGGTTCCCAGGGGGGGGGGGTAGCTGAGCACCCCCCCCCCCCCCCCCCCTTAGAAAGAGGGGGGCGGGGGTGGCTTCCGGGCCGCCCGAAAGCGAGGGCCGGGGGCGGCGATAAAGGAGGGGGGGGGGGTAGCTATCGGCAGAGGTGTCCAAAAGGGAGGGGGGGGGGGTAGCTAAGCCCCACTCTTTTTGGAAGGAGGGGGGGGGATAGCTTCCAGAGCGGCCAAAGGGGGAGGGGGGAGGGGTAGTTTCGGGAGGGCAAGCGAACAAAAAGGGGGAGGGGGGGGGGGGTGCTTCCAGCAGAGGGGGGTCCAAAGGGGGGGGGGGTAGCTGAGCCCCCCCCCCCCCTTTGCGAGTTCCGCGCGGGCGCGCTCTCTCATGGAAACTGCTGGCACGGCCAGATACTTAGACAGAACTGGCGCATGCGAAATACAACTGCGATGGCGCAGACAAATCCGCCGCCGCGCTTGCAGCGATTGGCGCGCGCGGTCTTTGTCATTTCGCACGTAGCTTCTTGCGAAGCCGAATATATCGCCCCCGGACGCATCGATGCCAACATGCGTCTACTTGTTGGAAGAAATCCGCGCGCAGTTGGCCCTGCAAAGCACGCGCGCCCCAGAGCTCAGAAATCTGGAGGATGCGCCCAACAACAGTTTGTAAGATATCGATCGGACCTGTGCCTTGGAGGCGCCGACAAATACATGGCGGAAATCGCCGCGCCGGGAAAGAACATTCCAGTCGCTTCGCAGGGCGACGCTTCACGGGGGGGGCATGCTTTACTTCCACGTGGTTCCGCCGCAATTCCACCGGTTTCCGCCCGCGCGTTCTCCATCGACTTACTCCCACTGGCTTCCGCTGCCCTTCCACCGCCATCCGCCGATCACGGGAAGACGACGTCTCGATTCCTCGATGGCGAGGCCGTTTCTCGCAGGCTGGGGCAGAAGCGGGCGGCGCATCTTTCCGAACCACCTAAGCCACCGCATGCCCGCGAACTGCCTGTTCCCTCCTCCTCCCCCCCTCTCCTCATCTTCCTCCACCTTTTCCTCCTCCTCCTCCTCCTCGTCCTCCTCCTCGTCCTCCTCCCTCCTCCCCCCCCTCGTCGTCCTCCCCATTTTTCTTCCTCCTCCCCCTCCCCCTCCTTCTCCCTTTCCTCCTCGTCCTCTTCCTCTTCCCCTCCTCCTCCTCCTCCTCCTCCTCCTCCTCCTCCTCCTCCTCCCCTCCTCCTCCTCCTCCTCCTCCTCCTCCTCCTCCTCCTCCCCCTCCTCCTCCTCCTCCTCCCCCCCCTCCCCCCCCTCCCCCCCCCCTCCTCCTCCTCTCCCTATACTCCCTATTCCTCATCTCCTCCTATTCCTCTATTCTCTCCTCCTATTCCTCCTATCCTCCAATTCCTTCCTATTCCCTCCTATTCCTCCTCCCTCCTCCTTCATCTCCTCCTCCCCGTCCTCTCCTCCTACTCCTCCTCCTCCTCCTCTCATCTTCTTCCTTCCTCCTATCCTCCTCCCCCCCTCGACCCTCCAGCTCCTTGTCCCCGCCTCTTCCTTCCCCCCCCTTTCCCCCCCCCCCCCCCTTCTTCCCCCCCCTCCGCCCCCCCCGCCCCCCCCTCCCCCGATGCGGGCATGTCAGTCTTGCCGTGGCATTCCCCGTCGCGCACCCCCCCCCCCACCCCCCCCCCCCCCCCCCCCCCACACACACAAACACCACCAACACCACCACCCACGCACACACACACACACACACACACACACACACACACACACACCACACACACACACACACACACACACACACACACACACACACACACACACACACCACGCCACACACGCAACACACCACACACGCACACACGCACACAAACACACACACACACACACACACACACACACACACACACACACACACCACACACACACACACACACACACACACACACACACCACACACACACACACCACCCACCACCCACCACCCACCCACCCGCCCACCCACCCACCGCGCCACCCCCCCACCCGCCCACCCCCGCCCCACCCTGCCCCCGCCCCATTTGTTTCCTGTTCGTCACCTTTCTCGCTCTAGAGAGGCGGCAAGAGAGCAAGCGAGCCGCGCCCGACCCTCGGCCCTCGCAAACCTCCTGCCCTGTCCGTATTCCTACGCATTATGATGCTGCTCCTCCCGACCCTCCCCCCCCCCCCCTCCTCCCCCCCCCCCCTCCTCCTCCTCCTCTTCCGCCCCCTCCCCGCCCCGCCTTGTTCGTATGCGTTCCCCCTTCTCTTCCACCACTTTCCACATTCCAAACCTTCCTGCTACGCGTCGCCCTCCTCCTTTCCTCCCCCGCCCCCTTCTTCATTCGTCCATGTATCATTCCTTCTTCTCTTTTTTAAGCCAGTGGAAGCCACGAGACAAGAATGCGGCCTACCTGACAGCGAAACGGAAAACGACAACCCCAGCAAACGAACTGGAACCACGCACAAGCCGCAGGAGAAGGGCCAGAAACAAATAGGGGCGGTAACAACCTGCAACGCGACGATATCGCCGCCAAGACGCCATCCGAAACCGACGCGGCAATCTGGCTGCCATGCTTCATTTCAGGCGGAGGCGCAGGAGGAGAAGAAGGAGGAAGGGGAAGGGCGAGGAGGGCGCAACAGTGAATACAAATCATGAAGACGCTGGTTTGAGGACGCCTTGAGTCGAACTGGAGTCGAAACGGAGTCAAACTTGAGTCGAACTCGAGTCGAACAGATGCATTAGGTGACTGCTGGGAGGTCCCCACATCGAGGATGTAAGGGGTGGGTCAAAGGCCGGGTTCAGGCACGCGAAGCGTCCTTCTGGGGCGCTGCCATGGAGCGGTCGTTGCACTCGCGCAACGTTGGGCGCGCGCATTCGCACGCGCGCATCAGTTGGCAGAAGCCCGGGGCGAAAAGTATTGACCACGCCACGACTGATTCGTGGGCGTTCAAGAACACCCGCCCCCGCGTCGACGTCAACAGCGAGATGCGCGGGCCGCGCCGCTGGCTCGAGGCGACGCAGCGGGGCCACGTCTACTGCTCCGTGCACAAGGAGGGCGCCGTGTACACGGACACGAACTACCCCCCGCGGCAGGGGTTGTGGGCCCCTGAGCCAGGGTGGGTGGTGAGCCTCTACAAGCAGCACAAGCTCGGCCACGATGCGCACCTGCGGCTCTCGGCGAAGCTGCGGGGCGGCCACGACAGGAGGATGGCTTCGGTGGGCGCCGCGGAAAAGTCCGAGGCCGCTCTGGCCTTCGAAGCGGAGCGCGCGTGGGCAAGGGAGCAAGTGAAATTGAAGGCGCTCGCATTCAAGCCGCTGCCGCCCGAGATTGAGCTGTGGAAGATGAGCTACGGGGGGGTTGAGGAGCGCTACGAGATGCTTGTGCTCCATGGCCCATCTCGAACGGGCAAGTCCCGCCTGGCCCGTGCCCTCTTCGGGGCAGACCGCACCATGGTCGTGGACGTCCAACGCGCAGACCACCCTGACATGCACGGGCACGAGCGGCACCGCCATCTCGCCGTCCTCGTGGACGAGGTCAAAGCCCGCACTTCATTGCCGACAACAAGAAGCTTCTCCAGGCGCACGTGGACGGTGCGATTCTGGGCCAATCGGCTACGCAGTTGCACACGCACGAGGTTTTCCTGTGGCGCACTCCGATCACCATCACCACGAACAATTGGGACTTGTCGACATTGACAGTGGCAGAGATCGATTGGATCGCGAGCAATTGTGTGTCGGTTTACATCGGCAAGCCCGTGTGCGCCGCAGCCAAGGCGCCCCCCTGCGACCGCTCGCCCAGCCAGAGGCGCCCCGTGGCCGAGCGCACGCCGCCTGCGTCTCCATGGCAGAAGCGTCATGCAGGGAAGCGCCTGTGATGGGATGGCGCCCCACAGCCTCGCGCGGGCGCCGCCTGCGACGCGCCTGGTGCGCGGGGCCAACTATTATGTTGCGCTGTATGAAAGCGCATTCGCCCACGCCATTCTTCTTAACGTGCCACTGCGCATTCCCATTGGCGCCGCCGCGATCCCCCCCCGCCCCGCCGTCGTCGCAGTCATTTCGGCCCAACCCACAAGGGCGCCACTGCGCCGGCGCTTTCGCCAGCCCGATGTCGGGCCCTATTGGCCAGGGCACCCGCCGTCAGTTCTGGCTGTCGGCCCCCGCCGGCCGCCTCAGCCCATGGGGGGTCGCCAAGGCGCTCGGCCTTCGCGAAGCGAGCGAGGAGGTGCACGGGGGCCAGCCGAACATGGAGCGGGTCGCCGCGCGGCTGACGAAGTCAGGCGGAGGCGCGCCCACCAGGGCTGCGGCGCACGCGCTTTTCACTAGGATCGATAGCGATCCGGGGTGGTTCCCCGGGAAGCGCTCGGGCGCGAAGCGGGGCCCGAAGCCGTTGCTCACGGCGGCCCAGCGCCGCTGCGTAGCCGCCTCGGCGAAGGCGGCGAAGAAGCGCGACCAGGAGCCCTGCGTCGCTGCGGCGGTCAACGCCTGCCCCGCGGCGACGCTGAACCCGGGGGCGGGCAAGCCCTTCTGCGACAAGAAGATGCGAGAATTGTTCACGAACGATTGCTATGACTTCGACCCGGAGTACCCATGGAAATTCCAGCGCGCAATGCAGAAAGTCTTCCTGCCGAAGGCCGTCAAGGATCACCGCCTCGCCATGGCCCGCCGCCAACTCCGGCGCGGGCAGTCGCCGGCCCGGCGGGCGCAGCATGGCGCGGTTCGACCCTTGCGCGTCGATCATCCCTGGGCCCCAGAAGCAGCATGACCAGATGCGCCAGGCGTTCAAGGGCAGCAGGAGGTACATCTCGGACGACGCGAAGATGTACTCCCCGAACTTGCTTGGCCCCCCGACGGCGCTGAAGCAGCGGCAGTGGGATGGCGCCAAGGTGAACTGGTTCACGGTGCTTGCGCGCGGCGTGGTGCACGTGGAGGTCATGCCTGCGGACTGGAAGTTCAACGGGAAAGGCGTGGCCCTCTTTGTCGAGAGGCTCCCAGGAATTCTCCGCAAGATGCTGGGCGCTGGCGCGCGGCTGCCGCGCCATGCGTTTACCGACCGCGGCGCAGGCATGTACAGACAGGTGGGCAAGGTCGTCAACGAGCGCGCGGAGGCCATGGAGGCCGCTACCATGCACCTGTATTTGGGGAGGGACGCGGCCAGACAGTCGCCCGACGTGGGCGATGTGCTCCTGCATGAGACCGCAGTGGCATGGTTCCGCAAGCAAATGCGGAACGAGGGCCCAAATGGTTTGCCGTGGCATGAGACCACGGAGCAATGGGCGAGGCGCGCTCGCCGCGTAGTCGCAGCCATGAACCAGGAGTATGATGTCTCCGGGCTCTGCGCCTCGAAGACGTCGTGGCGCGGGAGGGCGACCGCCTCCCGAAATAAGGAGCCGCGCATGTTAATTAATGAATGA